AGATGAGATCTATATCCGGGAGATTGATTGCCTTCATGGTGTGCCCGAGTCTATCATTTCGGATCAAGGTACGCAGTCTACCTCCCATTTCTAGAGAGCAATTCAGCGAGAATTGGGCACACGGGTTGAGTTGAGCATAACGTTTCATCCCCAGACGGACGGACAGTCCGAGCGGACTATTCAGATTTTGGAAGATATGCTCCGAGCTTGTGTTATTGACTTTGGAGGCTCCTGGGATCAGTTTTTGCCTATAGTAGAGTTTGCCTACAACAACAGCTACCAGTCGAGTATCCAGATGGCTCCTTATGAGGCTTTATATGGTAGGCGGTGTCGGTCTTCGGTTAGATGGTTTGAGCCGGGAGAGGCTCAGTTATTACGTACGGATCTGGTTCAGGATGCCTTGGACAAGGTCAGGAGCATTCAGGATAGGCTTCGTATAGCTCAGTCCAAGCAAAAGAGTTATGCAGACCAAAAGGTTCGTGATTTAGCATTCATGGTCGGTGAGCGAGTTTTGCTTTGAGTGTCACCTATGAAGGGCATGATGAGATATGTGAAGAAGGGCAAGCTTAGCTCTAGGTTCATTGGCACGTTTGAGATCCTTTATCGAGTGGGAGAGGTGGCTTATAGACTTACATTGCCGCCGAGCTTATCGGTTGTGCATCTAGTGTTTCATGTGTCCATGCTTCAGAAGTATCACGGCGATCTATCCCACGTGTTAGATTTCAGCACTGTCCAATTGGACAAGGAATTTTGTTATGAGGAGGAGCCGGTAGCTATCCTAGACCGGCAGGTTCGTCAGTTGAGATTGAAGAGTTTTCCTTCTGTTCGTGTTCAGTGAAGAGGTCAGCCTCCTGAGGCATCGACCTGGGAGTCCAAGTCCGATATGCGGAGCCGTCATCCCCATCTTTTCCTCGACTCAGGTACTTCCTTCTTCTGTCCGTTCGAGGACGAACAGTTATTTTAGAGGTGGAGAATGTGATGACCCTGCATTCTGAGGCTTTAAAAACCTCTTTTAGCATCACCTCGATTTCCGTGCACAGTCCGGGCACGTAGCGGGAAAGCTTATATGTGAAAATCTGTAAACAATGATAAATTTTGACTATAAAATGAATTAATTTGACTTCAGTCAACGCTTTAGGTAAACGGACCCGGACTCATGATTTGACGGTCCCGGAGGGTCCATAGGAAAATATGGGACTTGGGAATAAGTCTGAAATTGAATTCCAAGGTCCCAAGCCCGAGAATTAAATTTTTAAAGAAAATAGTTTTTTCTAAAATTGTTTAAAGGATTTGGAAATGAATTTTGATTAGAACATGTTGGTATTGAGCTTGTATTTTGGTTCCGGCACCCGATACAGGTCTTATATGTGATTTATGATAATTTTGTGAAGTTTTGTGAGAAACAAAATCCGTTTGACGTGATTCGGATCTTAAATGAAAAATTTGATGTTCAAAAAAGTTTTGAGAACTTTCATTGCTATTGAGGTTTAATTCGATGTTTCTAATGTTATTTTTGTGATATGAGTACACGAATAAGTCCGTGGGATGTTTTTGTGGTTGTGTGTACATTTGGTTTGGAGCCCCGAGGTCTCGGGTGAGTTTTGGATAGGCCGCGGGGTACATTTTGAACTTAGAAAGTTGCAGATTTTAGCTGGTGTGTCTAGGCCTGCAGGCTTCACATTTGTAAAACCTCGCTCGCAAATGCGAAGGCTGGATCGCAAATGCGAAACTTGCCCAGGCCTGCCTTGTCTCGCAAGTGCGAGTGTCCTTTCCGCAAATGCGACATATGTGTCACAAATGCGAAATCGCAAATGCGACATTATTTTCGCAAATGCGAAAGTTCAGCATTTCTGAAGGGTTCACAAATGCGAGCCCTGTTTCGCATTTCCCAGCTTAGCAGAGGTCAGGGTTCGCAATTGCGAACCCCTGTTCGCAATTCCCATACCTGAGACCTGCAACTTTTATACTTAAACGATTTCAAACTCATTTTTCATATCCTCTCAAAACATAAATACACTAGGGCGATTTTTCAAAGGCTTCTTCTTCTTCAGATCAATTGTAAGTCATTTTTAACTAGTTTTCTTCAATCATTAACATCTTTTAATATGACTTCAACTTAAAATCAATGATTTTCATGGGGGAAATTGGGTGTTTTGGGTAGAACCTAGGTTTTTTAAAAAATTGGGGATTTGGACCTCGATTTGAGGTCCGATTTCAAAACAAATTATATATTTGGGTTCGTGGGGGAATGGGTATTCGGGTTTTGGTTCGAACCTCGGGTTTTGACCATGTGGGCCTAGGGGCGATTTTTGACTTTTTGGAAAAAACTTTGGGAAATTCATTTTCATGCATTCAAATTGATTCATTTAGCGTTTATTGATGTAATTAAGTAACTTGTGATTAAATACGAGAAAATTGGCGGTGGAATCAAGGGGTAAAGCTATAATTGAAACTTGAGTTGTATTCGTGGCATCGAGGTAAGTGTTCGGTCTAATCTTATCTTGAGGGATTAGGAGTTGTGTCCTAATTGCTATTTGCTTCTTGTTGAGTACAACATATAGGCATGGTGACGGGTATCTATACATTGGTATCGATCATGACCGTGAGTCTTAAATTGCAATTTATTTTGTGTTCTTAAATAGTACTACAGATGCTTTAATTGATGATTCTCGATATTGAGCAAGGATTAAGTGTGTTTTCCTGAAAATTACTTATGATTGGGTATTGGTATTAGCCGAGATGAGTAGAAGTTTGGTTAAGATTGGTTATAGTTGTTGATCCCTTGCCGGGACGTATTTACTTTTACTATTGAATCCCTTGCCAGGATAGTGTAGCTCATTGTTGATCCCTTGCTGGGACTCTTGGTATGGTTGTTGCTAAAGGTATATAATGTTATGTTGGATCAGGTTGCACGTCGCAACAATACTATATATGGAACGGGTTGCATGCCGCAACAATGTTATGTTGGATCGGGTTGCACGCCGCAAGAATACTATATATGGAACGGGTTGCACGCCGCAACAGTGATATAAATGGATCGGGTTGCACGCCGCAACAATATTAAGTGATAGGGATCAGGTTGCGCGGCACAACAACGTTATTATTATTTTGTTGTAGATCTTGAGTTGTTCTCTCATAGTTCTCTTAAGTTTCTATTGGATTTGATATTTCTCCCCGTAGCATATACCCCCCCCCCTCCCATGTTAATTGTTTATTCATGTTTAGTTTTTTGCTGTATATTATATAACTGCACAGGTTTATCTGGAGTCTGGTCCTAGCCTCGTCACTACCTCGTCGGGGTTAGGACAGGCACTTACTAGCACATGGGGTCGGTTGTGCTGATGCTACACTCTGCACTATGTACAAATACCGAAGCAGCTTTTGGACAGCAGTACTTGGGGAGCCAGCCCTCAGACCAGCCAAAGATCCTGAGGTAGTCTTGCAGGCATCCGTAGGCCCGACGTTCTCTTCTATTTCATTATGTACTCTGTTTTCATTAGATTTGGAGACAGATTGTATTCCTTTCAGACATTGGTTGTAGTAAATCTTAGTCCGTCCATGAATATTGTGACACTAGATTCCGGGTAGAGGAGTATATTGGCATTGTAGCACTGGCTTGGTTATTTTTAGCTGTTTAAGTCTTCCGCCTATGCTGTTTATCGTTAAATTTTAAAATGTTGATTTCCTGTTAATTCAAGTTGTTAAAAAGGATTAAAATGAAAGAGTTAGAATTTTCTATATTTTGTGGCTTGCCTAACTTCTACGAGTAGGCACCATCATGACTCCCGAGGGTGGAAAATCAGGGTCGTGACAAGACATAGGCTACACCACTCCCTAGTCTCTACCAGCATAGGGTATATCAATCCCTTGTCGTGTTTTTCCATCATATGGTGCATCACTTCCTAGTTGATGATCTTAAAAGCAAGGTACACCATTCCCTGATTCCATTGCCAATGTAGGGTAATACCATTCTCTAGTCATATTTTCCAACATAAGGTATACCAATCCGTAGTTGTGATATTATTTTTCACAATAAGGGTACACCATCCCCAAATAATCATGTTTTCCCCTGGGTACACCATTCCCGGTATTTTATTGCTTTCAATAAAGATGTTTTAAATTTGTTACAATAACTCATGAAATTTTTCCTAGTGAAAACCAGGGCAGAAAATTTCGTTCATTTGTTTGTTTTGGTGCTTAGACAGATTTTACCTCAAGGCACGGGATTTGAGATGACGAGAAGAAGAAATCTCAATCTAGAATAAAGAAAAGAAAAAAAGAGAAGTCAATTCAAAATGAAAAGCAAATTGAAACAAGAACATGATTTGCTAAAAATATGACTGAAGTCACGAGCATTACATCCTCGATTTTGATGAAAAAAGAAGCCATGCAAGAGTGAACTAGTATCTGCAGCTAATAGGTATCAAGGTTCAGATCATAACTCTACATAAAGAACCAGTCAAGACTCAACACCGAGCTACATTTTAGCATAATTAGGAATATCTTAAATCATAAAATTTAAAAAAATACTTTTATCTTTTATTTTATTGCATTATAACACCTTAGTTGAATTTTTAGAATTTAATTACATTATTAAATGCATAGTTAAAATACATAAATTCATAAAAAATACATTAGCCATTTTTACATTAGTTTACTTTATTAGTTCTTTCCATTAGTTTGCAATGTTAGCTTTAATTAGTTTCAATATTAGACAAAATATATAGATAGGTTAAATATGCAAATTAGGATTAATTTTAAAATGGTTAATACTGAAAATAAGTAAAGGAAACAAAGGGTTGGTTGCTTTATACTTTAAATTGGCCAAAACATTAGACGGCCCAGTTGCCTTCTAAACCATTTGCCCCAAATCCACACCTGGCCCAGGCTTCTCACTAAACTAAACGGCACCGCTTAGACATGAGTCAATCTCAACCATTCGTTGATCAGGATCCAACGTCCAGGAACTAACCCCATTTTCTCTTAAAAATGTCCGAATCGACCCCCCACCCCAAAACTATCACACACCATCATCTCTTCCTCTCTCTTCGCCTCCATCTTCTCTGTTGTTGAAATCGTCCCACGGTGGTGGAAAGTATCCAAACGCCACCAAATTATCACCAGACACTCTCCTCATCTCCCTTATTCCTAATCCATAACTCGTTCCTCTTTAAAACATTCCAAGGTTTACGATCAGTAGATCTACAAAATCATTAACCCTAAAATTTTCCCTTTTTGTTTTCTTCTTCAATTCCGGCATGTAAAGATTTTAAACCTAAATCAATCGTTTGCTCAAAATTAGAGCTATCGATTGCCGTTGGTAATAGATCATTTTACGATGGCCGGAATCCCTTTCACCGAAACCCTTTATCTCTGTCAAAATTCATTGAACCTCAACTTTGTCCAATGAAATAATTATCAAACATCAAGAGTCCAAATAAGTGTTCATTGGACGAAGGTCGCTGCCATTCAACCTCGAAATCTGGTGTTTGGTTTGACCCCTGAGCTTTTGGTCTTACCAGCTTTGTAAGTTTACACTCTTTAATTGATTTTTATTTTTAGGTTGTTTGCATGTCGTGGATTAGATATTAATTTATTAGTTTAGGTATTAGTATATTAGTAGATATACTTTGAGAAGTAGAAAATTATTTAAATACATTGACTTTTGTTAAACTACACGATTAAGTGGTGTTTGCATTCTCTAGTTTGCTTTAATTGTTCAATTTGAACTTAAGATTGGCTGGTATTGGTTTTGTTTGGTCTGATTGAGTCTAGTGAATTTGGGCATACCTTGCTTAACAGGCAAGCCCGCTGAATTTAGAGCTGACAGAGGAGGAGGTTATGAATTGTGGGCCTGGTGACCACATGTCCCAGTTTTTTGGTTGCGGCAAAGTGCAAAAACAAGGGGGGATGCAGAGAGTAGTGAGAAAAGAAATAGTCTGAGAATGAATGGTTTAGAAAATAAAAAAAGGAAGGGAGGTAGGGTGTGAGAAATATGGGGAGTAAAAAATAGAAAGTATGAGGGGGTAAAACAAAAGAAATAGCTGAAAGATGCCGAATTTCGTTGATAAAAGGGACCCTACTCATTCATTCATTCATTCATCCTTATGCATCTCACTCACACACTCACAAATGCCTTTAAGAAATATAGAAGCAACGAGAAATCTAGAATTCCATATCTGAAGAACAAAAACAAAAAAAAAGAAATTCAAAAGTTGTTCCAATTTCTGCTGCTTTACTTCAATATTTTTTGGTTTCTCGAGTTGTTTTGGGACTGGAAATTAAAGTTGTTAGTTGTTTATGTTGCTGAATCTGCTGTATAACGACCCGACCAATCGTTTTGAGCTCTAGTGCATCATTCGGCGGTTTAAAGCCTTAAGTAGTTTCACTTTATATTTTATGACCTATAAGCATAGTTGTAGTTGAATTTCGGGAAGTTCGGAGCTGATTCGGATGGAAAATTCTCAATTCGAAAGATTTAAGTTGGAAGAGTTGACTAAGATTTGACTTTTGAGTAAACAACCTCGGAATTAGGATTTGAAGATTCCAATAGGTGCGTATAATGATTTCAGACTTGGGCATATTTTCGGGTTAAGTATCGGGTGGTCCGGGAGCATTTTGGCGCTTATTGTGAAAAGTTGGCATTTTGAAGATATTCTGTTACGCCCCGCCAAATTACGATGATGTTACGTCCTGCAGTATTATATTACGATGATGTTACGCCTTGCAGTATTACATTACGATGATATTACGCTTCGCAGTATTAAATTACGACAATGTTGCACCCTGTAGTATTATATGTTGAATTTATCGTAAGGTAATTGACATCAGTCCAAGGAAAAGATTATTAGAAGATTATAAGAATTATGCTATTTCACAAGTGATGAGTAAATTTGTGAAGGTGAGAGAGGAAGCAAATAAAAGAAAATAAATTTTTCGTCCAAGTTTTGTATATTGGGATAAAATACGGGCCGAGCATTAATACCTGATATTTATGAACTAGTGACACAATATACTATATGACCATGATAGTAAGTGTATAAGGTACATTAAAAGAGGATAGTATTTTAAATAATTTGAGATAGTTCTTAACTAAATGAATAATTGATTAATGGTGGAGATAATTATGGTATTAAGTGGATAACTGTCTTTTTTAAATTACCACATGGCACAAGCTTAGCCAAGGTGGCAAATTATGCAAAATGAGTCATTAGACCAAGTGATAACTTGATTACACGTAAAGATGGATTTGTCTCTTTATTGGAAAAGTGTATCTCTTACGTAAAGACGTAAAGAATCTATATATTGATTGATTTATAATCCAAGATTTTCCTATATTTCTCCTCTTCATAATTTCATATTCATAAGATACAGTATTTATAAAAAAGATCAAAACATTTCAACACCCATTTGGAAATTTTATCATGGGATTTGTTAGTGACAGAGAAAAGATTGATAGGGGTAGTGGTAGTTGGGACAAAGGAGGGTGCTTTTTTGGGGGGTATGAAAAGTCTTGTAAGAAGGAAACGGGTTGATTCAGCAAATTCGAAGTCTGGTTCTGCTCATCAATTAGCTAAGGCCTTAACTGTTCCTCATCTTATTGCTATAGAGAGGAATGCTACAAGATCCAACGCATTATATTAATTCAAAAAAAGCCCGATGCAATCTTTCTCAAGAATATCATACGGATTTTTCCCTACTTCGATTCGCCATTACGTGTTTCCGCAAAAGAAAATCGGTTCAGGATTTAAGGCTATTCCTTCTTTCTTTTTGGCATGATCTATACGACCCGAACGAAATGAGCAAATACACAATTTCCATAAATGACTTTGTACATAGAAATACTAGGGGTGTCAATAATCTTGATTTCCCCATGTGGATTATTATTATATCTTCTGTTCATGGATCTCAGAAAAATACGTATTTGATAATGTAACGACCCGACCGGTCGTCTTGAGCTTTTGCACTTTGCTCGCCAGTCCTTGGGCATGACTAGCCCCATGTGATGCATTACGCCTTATGCAAATCGTTGGTTTTGCTTTTCAGGGTAATCAGAATGAATTTGGAAGAAGAGTTCTCAGTTTGAAGCTTAAAACTTGAAAGATTTGACCAAGATTTAACATGTTAGTAGATGACCTCGGATTGAAATTTTTATGATTTAGTTAGCTCCGTTAGATTATTTGGGACTTAGGAGGGTAGTCGGAATGTGTTTTTGAGGTCCGCGGAAGGTTTAGGCTTGAATTAACGAAATTAAGATTTTGACGTTTTCCGGTCGGTAGGTGAGATTTTGATATAGGGGTCGGAATGAAATTCTGGAAGTTAGAGTAGATCCATTGTGTTATTTGTGACGTATGCGCGAAATTTCAGATCATTCGGACGATGTTTGATAAACTTTTTGATCAAAAGAGAAATTTGGAAGTTTTTGGAATTCTTAGGCTTGAATCCGGTGCAAATTTGGTGTTTTAATGTTGTTTTGAGTATTCCGAAGGTCGGAACAAGTTTGAATGATGTTATGGGATATGTTGGCATGTTTGGTTGTGGTCCCGAGGGCCTCGGGTGTGTTTCGGGTGGTTAACGGATAAATTTTTGGACTTTCGACTTGGCAGATTTTCTAGTATTGTGTTGCAGAGAAATCCTTCTTCGCGTCCGCGAGAGGGTTTCATGTTCGCGAAGGGTTAGTGAGAGAGGCAGTCAAGTTGTTCTTCGCATTCGCAAGATAGGTCCCGCATTCGCGAAGGTGTACGAGTTTTAGGCTATGCGTTCGCGTATGGGATATCCCGTTCGCATAGAGTCGAGCCAAGAGCTGGGCTTGAGGACCTTTATTCATCGCGTACGTGAGTCTTGGACTGCGTTCGCATAGTTCTGTATCCAGTGTGTATCATGTTCGCGAGGCTGGTGCCGCGAACGCATAGAGCATTTCTGATGGCTGGTGTTTTTGTTCATCGCAAACGCGATGGTTTTCCCGCATTCGCGAAAGAGGATGTCTGGGCAGAATGTATAAAAATCCATCTTCGCAATTTTTAACCCATTTCTCCCCATTTTTGAATGGTTTTGAAGCTTTTTGAGAGGATTTAAAGAGGGATTTAAGGGATAAAACTTGGAGGTAAGCTTTTTGAACTCAATACTCGATCCTATGTTGATTCTTACCTGTTTAAACATGAAATATGTGGAAATTAAAGCCTAAAGTTGGGAAATTATGGCTTGAATTTGGAGAGCGTAAATTTGGAATTTGAGGGGGCATTTGAGGTCTGATTTCGATTATCTTGGTATGTATAGGCTCGCGGGAGGATGGAGATTCTATTGATGTGACTTTTATCGGATTCCGAGACATGGACTCGTGGGCTGGGTTTGAGCAAATTTCGGAATTTTTACTGTAAATTGGATATTTTCGAGTGGGCTTTGTTCCCTTAGAATATTTTAATGGTTATGTACTGATTTTGGTTAGATTTGGAGCATCCGAAGGTCAATTTGAGAGGGTAAAGGCATCGCGGGCTAGAGTTTGGACCGGATCAAGGTGAGTAACGATTGTAAATATTGTTCTGAGGGCATGAAATCCCGGATTACACATCGTTATGCTATATTGAGGTGACACACACGCTAGATGACGAGCGTGGAGTCGTGCACCGTTAGGGATTGTGACTTAGTCCATCCCGAATGACTGTTTTACCACATATTTGATTAAAAACTATTTGCTATCATCATGTTTTGTGCTAAATGCCATATTTGGGCCCCGTGCCAACTATTTGAACCCTTAGGGGATTTTTACTGTTATTTCCTCACTATTTTGACGTTATACTTGTACTCAATCATGCTTTATTCTACTATTTCCATAACTCAGCCATGTTTACTCTATTTTAACACATTAAATGATATTTGTATTGATATTTTGGTTTGAACATCATGTTTAACTGTTGTTCGAGCGGCTTATGAGATTCTGACTGAGTAAGGCCGAGAGCCTATGTTGTGAGGATACTTTGGGTCAGGATGCACGCCGCAACAGTAATACACTGATTATGATTATGAGGACGAGGGCCTGAGATAGTATGCCACGAGATGGCTTGTTGATATGAGGCCGAGAGCCTATTGATTATGCTACAAGATGGCTTGATATTGTGCTTGCGCCGTAAGGGGACCCTCCAGGAGTCTACACCCCTATTGAGCGCGGGTACCCATTGTGATATGAGATGTAGCCCAAGGGGCTGGTATTGTTCCATGTGTTGCCCGAGGGGCTGATTCTGTTGGTATTGTGCCCGAGGGGTGGTTCTTTATGTGTTTATCTTTTCTATCTGCATGTTATTTACTTTCTTATCTGTTAAAAAGGTATTTTAAAGAAGCTTAAACTGAACTAAGGTGACTTTATATGTTTTCATTGTTTCATTGCTTCTATTGGTTTTATACAGCTACTGTATAGTATGTTGATGTGTTTTTATATGATTTCTTATTGCTCAGTCTTCATTTAATGTTATTACTCACTGATTTGGAGTACTCACATTACTCCCTGCACCTTGTGTGCAGATTCAGGTATTTCTGAACTCAGTAGCAGGTGTTGGTTGCTCAGAAGCAAAGTCATCGGAGTTTGGCAAGGTAGCTGCCCGACGTTCGCAGCACTGCTTCTTATCCCTCTTGATTTCATTAGACTGTATCTAGTACATTTTTCAGACTTTCCATTGTATTTAGACCTTAGTAGATGCTCATGACTTGTGACACCCCGATGTCGGGCTGTATCTATTTCCGCACCTATTCTATTTCGCTTAATTTGGGATTTATTTCTTATCAATGACTTAAATTGACTTATTAAAATTGTTAAAAATGAATTTGGGAATTGTGTCTGCTGGCCTTGTCTTCAGAGAGGCGCCATCACGACCGAGTCCGGTTTGGGGTCGTGACAAGTTGGTATCAGAGCCTAGGTTACATAGGTCTCACGAGTCATGAGCAGGTTTAGTAGAGTCTTGCGGATCGGTACGGAGACGTCTGTACTTATCCTCGGGAGGATGCAGAACCTTTAGAAAAAAACTTCACATTCTTGTATTCTTATCGTGCGTCCTTGCTTCAGCTTGAAGTGTAACTCTTTGAATTCATTCCACGTGTTTGTATGCGCGCATGAGCGCTCGGTATCGGTTGTGCATCGACGGCTTGTGATTCCCTGATCGAGGGGCGAGATGTGATCTATTTGTGTTGATGTTGGGACAGTCTAGAGGACATGAGGCCGGATTTTTCTTATAGCTTGAGCTATGAGGCGTTGATTATGTGAGCACGTGCTTCTAGATTCGTATGTCCGATAGTGTCCCGATTAGTGGGAGTGATGACTGGATTGCTATGTGATGAGTATGAGGTGACTGCGAGATGTATTCATATGATTTGGAGGCGACGAGAAGGGTCTGTTGGAGGATAGAAGAACTATTAGGTGCTTGATTTCTATCTTCATTTGAGGTATAGCCCCGAGTTATGGGTATGTGAAGAATCTTTTTATGTTTTCTAGTTGGGAGAGTGAAGTGAATTTCACGTTGTGATATGAGTTCAGACTTAGGAAGATCAAGTAAATGCGAAATGTTTATGCTGGTGGAAGGGTATAAAGAGATATTAGTTGGAGGTGAAGCAGGTGGGTTATCTCCTGCGGATTGTTCTGAAGTTTGCGTGTTCCTTTATGTCGTTTATTGGAAGATCTTTGTTACTAGCAAAAGATATATGTTGCAATTTGAATTTGGGTCGCCTAAGAGAGTGGGCTTGACTGTTACGAAAGTGAATGCAAAATTTGTAGAAGATTTAAAGTACTAGATGGTCTATGTTTCACGAGCTTATGAAGGATTGAGTTTAATCTCACTATGGTATTATGGCAGCAATAGAGTATATGCGTTATGGGTTATTGTTTGCGTTTTGATCTATGGCTTCAAGACAAGTGGGGGAGTCTGCTATTGATTAGTTGATTGCACGGTTATGTGCAATATTGGTCCCAGTTTGAGGCGCGCTGGTGAATCAATTATGGCTTATGGAGATTGAGACCGAGGATGGCTCGAGTAAAGGAAAATTTTGACAAAGGTTATCACAGAATGTCTTGAGTGATTATTGGTAAAGGATGTGTGGTGCATAGAGTACGAAGTTGCTTGGTTGCATTAATATGAGGTTACATTCTGCGATGTCGGAGTGCTAATGAGGCACAGGTTGTTCGGTTCATTTGATTAGTCTAATTGAGGTTGGAGTAGAGTGGATAACTCTCGAGAATGGTCCTAATGAGTTCAAGATTTTACATGTAATAATTGGAAATTTTGGGAATATGAAAGAGAGTATTCAACAGCTTATGAGCCTTAGACGGTGTGGTTTTATGCTTGGGTCTCATGTGGTAAGTTTGGGTTGAGGAATTGTGGTGTTATAGGAAGAAGGAGTGTCACGACCCAAACTGAAGGGCCATGACTAGCACCCGACCACACTTGCCGAGCACCA